TATAATTAAGTTTATTATATCCAGATCACTAAAAATCAATAGTTTTTATTAATGCTAAATTATCTTATTATATAAATTTATATCCAATGTTTAGAGGGACAATTGAAAAATATTGTATATTTGTTTCTAATTATTAAGATTAAAATCAAAGTATTGCTCCAAATGCATCTGTAATTTTTTAGACATAATATAATTGAGAATATTATTTTTAATACTGTTAAACTGACAGATCCATTCGAATGAGACTGATATACTATTTTCTTGATTAAGATATTTTTGCAACTTCTCAAGATATTCAATCGCTTCCTTGTTGGTTATTTCAATAATTTCTTCAGAAGTATTTTCATCAGCTTCTATTTCTATATTTTTTCCAAGAATACAATTAATAATTTCCTGCTCAATACTTTCTTTATAGTTTTCAATTAATAATAATTTATTATCAATAGATAAAAAATCATTGACCGAAACATTATTATTATTTCCTAATAATTTGTTGATAGAATGTTATACTTGATGATTATCATGTTGAATACTTTCCTCTAATTCTGACAAAATAATCTTGGTGTTATCATATAATAACAGAAGAATTCCTGTTTTAATCCAGCAATTTTTTATAGTATTTGTTGTGATCTTATTCCAAGCAGTAGCCGTCATCTGAATCACATCCAGTATAGAAAGTTTTGAAGGCAATATTCCAGTTTCCATTTCTTTATCAAATTCTTGAATATGATTTTCACAAAGTAGTTGTCTATATTTAGCCTGAAAATATATTAATAAATTAATAAAACTTAAGTTTAATGCTAAGCATAAAGTATATATTATTGTACCTTGAAACTATAAATGATTCCGGCATCACATGATTAAAGATAAGTCATAGTATTTTCTAGTAGAAAGTGGATAATAATATTCATAAGACAGAGTTCTTCATTAATTTGGTGACACGAAGCATTATCGATAAGTAACAATATATGTCGATTTTAATTTTTCATAATTTGATTTAATTGTTTTATAAAGGTGGATCAAATGAAACGTTGCATCCATACTTTATTGTTCCAGTAATAAAAGACTGGGAGAGTTGATTTTTGAATATTCTTTAATGCTTGTGGATTTTCGTAGCGATAAATAAAAGTTGGTTTGATTTTTTCACCCAATGCATTACAAGTAAGCAATACCATTACATGTTCTTTTGATTTTTTTGTTCCAACAATCACTCCTTTGGATAATGTCTTGTTTGGTTCTAAAAGCCAGAAAAGTGCCGTCTCGTTACAATTAAATACGTTCCTTAACTTATAATTTTTAATGATATCTTGTAGTTAACTTCTAAACTTAGGAAGATTTTCAAAAGGTGTACTATTACCTTCACCTGCTTTTAAGTATTCTTTAACATTGTATCTTTTTTTAAATTCATTAAACTATCCAGAAGATGCAGTAAAATTATTTATTTGTAATAATTCTGCAAATCGTTTGACTTTTTTTTTTCATAATATGTCCAGAAAGAATACGATTATAGCAAATAGCTTGATCCATCCATATTGATAAGGATTTTTCAAGTTGAGGCCATACAGGAGGTCGTTGTTTTTTCAAACTTAATTTAGATATATTTGAATCAATACTTAATTACTTATCTTTTTCACATAAAATACCACTTATAGTTCTTTCACTTATATTAAATTCACGAACTAATTTAATACCAGTAATTTTTGAATTCATTTGTTTTTTTAGACATAACTTTTTTTTTTGTTCGCCTGTTAATGCATTATGTTTTAAATTTTGCTTTTTTGTATTTAAATTTTCTGATATTATTTTAAAAATCGAAGAGACAAAAAAGACCTTCCATTATTTTTTAAAGATAATATAATATTATAGATTTTAGTTATACTAATATTTATAATAAATGTTTATTTATGACCAGTGGGTCAATAGCACAGTGGGTAGTGCTCCCTGGTTTCCAAATGCATGTCCCTAGTTCAATACCCATAAGGGGCAATCGCAAAAAATTTACCTTCATTTGTGGGTTTACCGGATTGCCACAAATGTCGTACCCAGACATCCGGATCTGACCAAATTTAGTTAGGCTGCATGAAGATGGGACCTCTGGTCTTCCCGACGATCGCGGGCTGAAAACAGGTCGAAGCA